AGTCTGAACTAGGGGCCAGAGACATGAAGCCACGATCAGACAGACCCCATGGTCCCCTCGCCTGTAAGCTAGGAAGAATCATCTTCCTGGAATAGAAAATGAGTGTGCAGATGAGCCTGGGCTGCCAGCTCACACAGTCACATGGAAAGATGCAGCCAGAGCTCAAAGCAGGAGACAGGTGGGGCATGGAATGGATGGGCCATAAGGATGGCCTGATCAAGAAGTGCCTTTGTATCTGGCCAGTGTGGCTCAGTGATTGAGCATCGACCCATGTACCAAGAGGTCGCCAGTTCGATTCCCAGTCAGGACACATGCCCAGGTTGTGGGCCTGATCCCCAGTGGGGGGCATGCAGGAGGTGGCCAGTCAATGTTCTCTCTCATCAATGTTTCTCTCTCTCTCTCCCTCTCACTTCCTCTCTCTCTAAAAACAATAAAAGAAAAAAAAAGTGTCTTTGCTTGGTGGCTTTTTAAGCTGGGATCCTGATAGGAGGCCGTCTGACAGGGCATATAATTCCCAGTTCAGATGGAGTGAGCCAACTGGTTTGGTTTAAAAACAAAACGAATCAGCCCGGCCAGTGTGGCTTAGTGGGTAAGCATTGACCCATGCACTCAGAGGTTGCCAGTTTGATTCCCGGTCAGGGCACATGTCCAGCTTGTGGGCCCAATCCCCAGTGGGGGACATGCAGGAGGTGGCCAATCGATGCTTTCTCTCATCGACGTTTCTCTCTCTCCCCCTCTCCCTTCCTCTCTCTCTCAAATCAATAAAGAAAAAAATATTTTTAAAATCAAACAACAACAAAATCACCTGTAATGACTACATTTTTGTGGGGTGAGAATCAAAGGGTAGTAAAATACTCAAGACTGGACCCTGCTGGGACTCAAAATCAAGAGCAAATTGGTTCTTCCACAGACAGAGAACATCAATGGCTTACAAGCAACTCTAACACTGCTGGGGGTGGGGTGCGGGGAGTGGGTGAAATGGACTAGCAGCTACTCAGTTTGAAAGGAAAAAGTGCAGCAACAGGGGAATTAGGTTTCAGAAACTCTGTCCATCCCCTGGCTGCTCCCCTCCAGCAAACCAGCCCTCCTTTCTCTCTACCTCTCTTCACTTTTTCCATTTCATTCTTCTGGGTTTTGTTATGATTTTTAATCTCTGCTTCTGTGGGTTTACATTTAGGATCCTTCAGAGTTAAACAGAAGTTAAACATTAAAAAATGGGTCAAATTTGGTATAAATTAACACATGATCATGAGGTAAACTTTTATACCAAAACTGATTTTTGAAAACTAATTCAACCTGCTGTCAGCATTTGCCGCTAGAATATGGCAGTTTTCTGTGTACTATGCCAGTTAACTTCTGTTTTTCTTAAAATGAGCTTGGGTTTTTATTATCAGGGGGGAAAAAAGACTTTTAGGTGGTAAAAATTATGAACACATTTTTTATATTAAAATAATCTCATGGGCTGTTTTTAATTAGTAATAACTTGGAAGTTTTACAGTTTCTTCAAATTATAAGTAGAAAAATTACCCATTTTGCCCCAAAATAGACTCTTAGTGCCAACTTTTAAACTCCATACCATTGGGATAACATGGCACTTTGTGCACTAATGCCAGAAATAAAGATTCAAAGCTGTAATGAAGCAAAGAAGACGTGGTTGTGAATAAAGGTGCCAAACAGATGTGTAAAAATATTTTAAAGGGTTCCTGTGCAATCAGTAAAAAGCAATTTTAGTGGCTACATAAAATCCAATTCTATGTTTTTTGTTAATTCTCACCCAAGGATATTTTTCCATTTATTTTTAGATAGAATGGGAGGGAGGGAGAAACATCGATGTGAGAGAGAGATATCAATTGGATGCCTCCCACATGACCCCAACCGGGGCTGGGGATCAAACCTGCAACCCAGGTACATGCCCCTGACAGGGAATTGAACCCAGGACCCTTCAGTCCATGGGCCAACGCTCAAACCATTGAGCCAAACCAGCCAAGGCTAAAACCCAAATTTAAAAAATATTTATAAGTTTTAAGACAACCAGTTTAAAAGGGTTTAAAAAGAACAGTCCCCCTTTTTGAGGGAAGGGAATGTTTTTAAAAATCTTTTTGTTTTACTATGAACACATGTTCATAGTAAACTAAGAATTCACATGCAGTATAAAGCAAAAACTAAGAATCCCCTACTCACCTCATTCTGCCCAAATGACTGCTAATGGTTTCTGGTGTTTCATACAAGAAAATCGGTGTTTTAAATAGAGACAGCCTGAGGTAAGGGTCCTGAGGGTCTTTTGGAGTGGTGATTGTATAAGTAGTTAATGTCATGACCATTCATCAAGCAGGGTACTTTTCTGTATGTGTATTCTTTTTTTTTTTTTAATTGATTTGAGAGAGAGAGAGAGAGAGAGAGGAAGGTGGAGGAAGGAGAGATAAACATCGATTTGTTGTTCCTTATTTATGCATTCATTGGATGATTCTTGTTATGTGCCCTGACTAGGGATCCAACTCGAAACTTTGGCATATCTGGACTATGCTCAACCAACTGAGCTAACAGGCCCAGGAGTGTATGTATATCTCAATGAAAAGGTTAAAATTAGGAGGCCAGAGAGGGAAGTAATTTGAAACTAAGTATAAAGAGCAGCAAATATATGACCAGCAAGACCTTCTGAATAGTTTGCAACTACAGTCAGAAGGAATCATGTCTAAAAAGAAACAAGGTTGAGTCCTGGCCGGTTTGGTTTGGCTCAGCGGTTAGAGCATCAGCCTGCGGTCCAAAAAGACCCTGGTTTGTTTCCCGCTAAGGGTACGTACCTCAAATGCAGTTTGTCCCCGGCCCTGGTCGGGTTGTGCAGGTGGCAGCCACTTGATGTGTCCCTTTTACATCAATGTTTCTCTCTCTCTCTCTCTCCCACTCTGTCTGAACAAAAAATGGAAAAATGCCTCGGGTGAGGATAAAAACAAAAACAAAAACAAAAAACAAGTTTGAAAAAGGTATCCAGCATCATTCCCATGAACTGCAGAAATTATGGAAATATTGTTACATTAACATATTCCAGATAAGAATTTTTTCCATTACCTAAGGGACAGTTACTCACAGACTGTTTTATAAAATGAAATTACTTTCTTGTGCTATTTTCATGATGGGCTCTTGGAGATGAGATGTAGAAATAGAGAAGTCACCAAGGGAAGATACTACCTGATAAGCAGTCAGCTTTCTAGTCAGTGAGACCTCTGGGCTATTTCAGCAGACACAAGACATCCACTGCCCTGAACTGAGAGCTCTGAGGATTCTTTGCTACACTGTGTTCCCTGTGGCTGCTTCAATGTAAGGATGCCAAGTCCACCTGGTCTAAATACACCTCTGTGGCTGTGAGACACCAAACTGTTGCTAATAGGTACACTGCAGCGCAGAGATGGGGCAAAGCAGCCAGGACAGCATCACCCTTCTTAGTTCAGGTGTATCTTTTATCTCTCAAATCTCCTACCATCCAGGAATTTTCTTCCATCCAGGGCAGAGCATTCTGTTGCTTAGCAACTTCAACAAGTCATATCCCAAATCTGGAATAGGTGTGGTTAAAATAAACACAATGACAAAATCACTGCAAGTTACAACTGAGAGAGGCTAAAGATAGGAAACACAGAGACTTTTTTAAAAAGTTCCTAAATTTTTTATTCTGACCTGTTTACACCACATTATGCCCTAATTTTGTTTCTTATAGGATTTAACTATCATCATAGAAACCCAGAGAAAGAATATGAATCTATTTGTTTTTGCTTTCAGTCCCTTTCATTTGGTAATGCTCAAGACTCCCCTTCTTCCCTGGTACTATTGGCCAAAGAATTTCTATCACTTATCTCTATATCACTAACTGCTAGGATTGTGGTATTTCTGTAGATGACCTGGAGCAATTGTCCTGCTTCAGTCAATTAAACATTAACGTGGGTGGGATTTTCTGTCTTTAGTTTTCTGGTAAAATATATGCAACCCGCAATGTTCTCTACAGTTCTGACAGTCCAATTAACAACCACTCCAGGTACCATAGGGAACTACTGTCAGGGGCTGTCATCTTTTCCTTCAGGACAAATGAGTAACACAATGGTATGGCTCAAGGACTTGGCAGAGTGAAAACAGAGCAATGAAGCAGCCAATGTCCTTGTTTACTGCAAAGTAACTCCTTGCCTCATCTCTCGTCCTGGGCTCCATCACCCGCTGGACAGGCACACAGATATTTGTTGTTAGTAGTCCAGAGAAGGCCCACAGCCTCCCTCAAAATTTTTCTAGAGGGACAAACCCCAGAAACCCCAGACTTCCTCTACTCCTTAGGAAGTGCTCAATTCGGAAGGAGGTCAGAGTAGGGTCGGGATGGCCAGTCTGTATGTAAACTACCACAAACACAAATTTGTCTTACTACGAAAAAGTACAGCTGAGGGAGTAAGACATGGAGACGACTAAGACAGAGCCCCAGGCTTTCGGGAGTTCACAGGACGGCAGACAAGTTGGCAAAATAGCTACAAACCGTGCAACAAGTACCAAAGCCAAGCGAGGAGGCGGCAAATCGTTCAACTGCGAAGAGGCCAGGCGCTTCATCTCGAGTGGGACTCAGCGGGCAGCGAGGGGCAGGCTACACTCTGGTTCCAAATTTCCCCAACAACTCGTCTAGAAGCACCGCTCCAAGGCGCCCGAGGCAAAAGGGCCGGCTCCCACCTAATGCTGGGAACCGCGCCCCTCGGCACCCCTTGGATATGAGGCGCTGCCCCTCGGCACCCCGCGGCCCTTCCTCAACCCTGCCGGGCGCGACCTCCGTGGCGGCCGCGAAACACCGCCGAGTTCTGAGCACCGACTGGCGTGAGCTGCACCCCGGCCTTCCTCCAGCGGCCCAGTTGTCCCGCTCCCCACCAGGGCCCCCTGAGCTCCCGCCCGTCCCAACCCGAGCTTCTCTTCCTCACTCACGACCCACGCCCCGAGCCGGCCCGGCGCCTCCACCACAAGCCCCAACCGGAGGACCTCACCTTGGGCGGGAGCCGGTGGCAGCGGACGGCGCCGTGGGCTTCAGCGCATCCTGGGGTCGCAGGGAGCCGGAAGTGGGGCCGCGCGGAGACCGCAACGAGTTATGTAACCGGCAGGGGCCGCAGCCGGGACCGAGGCGGCGGCCCGCGGCACTTCCTCCTCCCGCACAGGGCCGGCGGCTCAGGCCGGAAGCCCATTGGCCACTGGAGCCCACGTAGGGCGCCGCCTCCCTGAGGCCGACGCCGCCATCTTAGGAGTGGGCAGGCCTCGCCTGGAAACGAGGGGAGAAGCTGGGTCGCTAGTTGGGGAACATCTACAGGGGGCCGGTGAGGTTCTGAGAGTCGAGGAGGACACCCAGAAGAGACGGGTCGGAGCCAGAGCATTTCACGCGCAGACCGGGAGATTGCTCACAACCCGCCAGTTCTCCGCTGACATTTTCCTTGTTTGGATTTGGGGTTTGGGTTTGTCCATCCCTAACCCATGCGGGGTATCGAACCAGGGAGGCGTGATTGAGTGACCCACCCCGGCTGGCGGGCAGCACCACCCCGCCTACCGCCGCAGGTCAGGCCAACAGCCAGAGGTTCGATTCCAAGGAAAGACAGTTTAGAACTGTCGCTATGTAAATAGGCAGGTGTCACAAGATCCAGGGAACCGTGTTGAGCAAAATGTGATGTTAACTTTAAAGCAGGAATTTATTCTTTGCCTTTCAATAACTTAAACAATGGTCCACGTAGCCAAAGAATGGAATATAAAGGACCTGCTTATTGCCAAGTGCTACAATGATCAATTCTTAAAGGATTTAATTCAGCCCTGGCCGGTTTGGCTCAGCGGTTAGAACATCGGCCTGCGGTACGGAGAGACCCGGGTTCGGTTCCCGCTAAGGGCACGTACTTCGGTTGCAGTTTGTCCCCGGCCCTGGTTGGTCGTGCGGGTGGCAGCCACTCGATGTGTCCCTTTCACGTCGATGTTTCTCTCTCTCTCTCTCTCTCTCTCTCTCCCTCCCACTCTATCTATACAAAAGGTGGAAAAATGTCCTCAGGTGAGGATAAAAAAAAAAAAAAAAAAAAAAAAGGATTTAATTCATATTCAGGAGAATAAACGTTATCACAAATTAAAAGTCTATATAAAATAACAATATATTAGAAATGTTTATAGCTCATTCTTTTAACATTTTGACAAGGAAATAGTACCTAACGAGAATGGAAGTTTTAAAGGTAATTGGTATAAGTAGATCAAGAGTAGAATAACAGCCCTGGCCGGTTTGGCTCAGCAGTTAGAGCATCGGCCTGCGGTCCGGAGAGACCCGGGTTCGGTTCCCGCTAAGGGCACGTACCTCGGTTGCAGTGTGTCCCCGGCCCTGGTAGGTTGTGCGGGTGGCGACCACTCGATGTGTCCCTTTCACATCGATGTTTCTCTCTCTCTCTGTCCCTCTCTCTCCCTCCCACTCTATCTGAACAAAGAATGGAAAAATGTCCTCGGGTGAGGATGATAAAAAAAAAAAAAAGAGAGTAGAATAACAAGGTGATATAAAACAAGGAATAGATAATCTGTCTATACATGTGTAGTGCCTGGTGGAATCCTGATTTATGTAAAGTAACCTGTACTTATGTTTCCCTTTTGTAGCTGTTTCTGTAAGTTCCTAGATTTTTTAAGGCTGAAAAATCACTTGGACAAAATGAAAATTAATATAATACTATTTACAACTCTGCAGAGTTATAAATTTAAGTACCGCAAACATGCTACTGTAAGCAAAAATGCTATGGTTTAGTCCCATGTAGAACACTTTGAGCACTCTACACAATTATATTTAGTGTGTCATTATTATTTATAATTAATCTTGTTGCAAAAAAATTAAGGAATTTGAAAGATCCACAAAACAAAGCAAGATAAAGGACAGTAGGACACTTAAGAGTGAGGTCGGTGTGTAAAATGCAGACTTTGAAGCCCTACATACTTTGTAGAAATGGGCTGCAAATTTTGATCCAATCCTTCCATAATCCATTTTGAAGAGAACAACTGGTTATAAGATTTGGTGAGTTAGTGTGTCAGAGGTGGCTAACTGTTCCCTAGTGTCCACTCCTCCTCCTCCTTCTCTTCTTCTTTTTTAAAAAAATAACTGCTTTATTATATCTTCTTGTAGTAATAGCTGTCAAGCTAGGTTTATATTTCTTGGCCTCCCTTGGGACAAAGGTGAGGCTATGTGCCAAAGTTTTTACCAATGGACAAGAGAGAAAGGGATGTAGGCAACTTCTGTGTCATGTCTTCAAAAGGAAATTGTTAAAATGTTAACAATTGGTGAAGCTAGGTGAAGGGTACATAGTTGTTTACTTCATTAATCTTTCAGATAATCCTGTTTGAAAATTTTTAAATAAAAAGGGCTAAAAAAAGGAAATTGCTTGCTTTCCTTGTCCTCTCCTTTTTTCCCATGCTGTCCTCCCTCTCCCTTTTCCCCATGTTGTCCTCTCTCCTCTTTCCCCATGTTTTCCTCTTTCTCCCCTTTCCCCATGGAACATGGATGCAGTGGTAAGCCCCTTTACTCATACAAGAGAGGCCAAACCCTACATAGGTCCTTGGTACTCAAAGTGTGGTCTGTGGTCCAGGAGCATCAGCATCACCTGGGAGCTTGTTAAAAATGCAGAACCTCAGGTCTTACCCAGATTGACTAAATCATAATTTTCATTTAACCAAGACTTTGCATTTAACAGGATCCCTGAGTGATTTATATGCATCTTAAAATTTGAGAAGCATGCCCTAACTGATGACAAAGTAACAACATTCTGTTGTTTCTAGGGTTTAATATACAGCTGAGTTTAAAATGAGTTTAAGATGAACTGTCTAAACTGAGAAGGGCATACACATCTCTTCAAACTTTTAAAAAGCTCTTTTTAAACACAAATGAGAAAATAGTAATGATAGCCCTTTTCCCAAGGCTTACTGTGTGCCAGGCACTGTGTTAAGTAAGCATCTTACACAGGATCTCATTTGTCTTCAGGACAATTGCTTCAGTTAGGTACCACATGTTACTGCAGGGATATTGAAGATAGTTGTCCTAAAAAAAACATTCCACCTTCTCCCACTGTGTGGGTGGTATTGACTCCACCCTCAAAATGGTCCTAATTGCTAACCAATTAAGGTCAACCATACCTCCTTGGCTTGGTGATTGGCTCAGATAACCCAGCAAGTGGGAGGGACATCTCTTTGTCACAGGGATTGGTTCAAGAAAGATCTAATCAGCACTGAGCTTAATACTGATTGGCCCTCCTAGTCTTTGCCCTCCTGATTTTTTCTTCTCTTTTTGGTGTATTTTGAGATGTTTCTTCCACTAGATCTAAGAAATCATTGGCTTTGTGATGACCATCCTCTCCTTCAATTTATTTACTGAATTAAATAAAAAAGAAAACACGCTGTTCAGTTCAGAAAGTTTTGCTACCATCAAATCTCCAGTCCTTGTATTGGAGATAGAGCTGTCATCTGTCTCCTCATCAGGAACTGCCTATTCTGAGAGTTCTGCCTGCCTCTCCTCCCTGTGGCTGCAAGGTCTCTTCAGGTTTATTACTATTTTTCTCTTGCCTACTCAGGGCTCTTTTTACCCTCGGGTCATGGGTCAGTCAGAGAGTTACTACAGGCATTACCAGTGGGCAAAGTCAGCAGTTTCCACTTTCCAAGCTACCAAGTAGAGACAGTCGTCTATGGAGCACTTGGAGAAAAACCTTCAATTCCTGCCTCCTCAGTGGCAGAACCCTCCCCCATCTGCAGAAACAGTAAGGTTGCCCGGTTGGTGTGGCTTGGTGGTTGAACGTCAACCCATGCACCAAGAGGTCACGGGTTCGATTTGCAGTCAGGGCACATGCCCAGGTTGTGGGCCTGATCCCCAGTGGGGGGCATGCAGGAGGCGGTCAATCGATGTTCTCTCTCATTGATGTTTCTATCTCTCTCCCTTTCCCTTCCATTCTCTCTAAAATCAATAAAGAAAAAAATTGTTTTAAAAAAATAAAGAAATAGGAAGGTAACAGGTTCCTCTGGGCCAGGCAGTGCAACAAGCTACCATCTACATGGGTAGGCTCTGCCTTTCCAGAGCCCTGGCTTAATTACTTTGCTAATTATGGAAGCAATACATACTGTAACAAATAAGAATTAACTTTCTCTGCAGTTCCACAAATATCTAAGGCCAAGATATTTTCAGAAATTTAGGCATTTTAATTTTCACCTCACCCGTCTGGTTCCCAGGCTTTCATCTGGCCCATAGGGGAACAAAGTTGGGTACTGCTCTCTTACACTATCTTGGGTGATCACACTGCCTAGGGCCCTACTCACTGCTCCATCAGAAGGACTGGGGTTGGGGAGAGGGGAGAGCAGGGTCTGTTGATCATGTTTCCCCATCAAATACCCAGAAATTCAGGTTATAAATGGTATTGCAACAAACAACCTATACAGAAATGTGCACATGGTGCAATTCTTTAGGGAAAATTCCTAGAGTATTGGTTAAAATTTTTCCATTGAGAAGGCTCCTGTCCCACACATCCTTACAAACACGGTGTAATATCATTCCTTACCTCTCTGCAATCTAGGTGAAAAATATCTCACTATGTTAATTTGTATTTCTTAGTAAGTTTGATCACTTTTTCCTATTTTCATTAGCCATTTATATTTCTTCTCTATATGATTTTTTATTCTTTATTGATTTTAGAGAAAGAGGAAGGGAAAGGGAGAAAGAGAGAGAAACATCGATGACAGAGAACCGATTAGCCACCTCCTGCATGCCCCCTACTGGGGATCGGGCCCACACCTGGGCATGTGCCCAGACCCTGAACCAAACTGGCAACCTCTTGGTGCATGGGTCAATGCTCAACCACCGAACCACACCATCGGGCATGCCCATGGTAAATTTTAGAAAGCAGAATAAGCTTTGGCTGGTTTGGCTCAGCGGTTAGAGTGTCGGCCTGTGGTCCAGAGAGACCCGGGTTCGGTTCCTGCTAAGAGCGCATGCCTCGGTTGCAGTTTGTCCCTGGCCCTGGTTGGGTCATGTGGGTAGCAACCACTTGATGTGTCCCTTTCACGTCAATATTTCTCTCTCTCTCCCTCCCACTCTATCTGAACAAAAAATGGAAAAATGTTCTTGGGTGAGGAAAAATAATAATAA